AATAAATCAAACTCAGATTGCATTTTAGTAACTTTTTATATAAAGCAGATTTATTTAATTTTTAATTAGAATTTCCATTCCAATTTGGAACACAGATCACTTTCACTAAGAAAATTATTCCGGATAATATTGATTACACATATACAATATACGAAAAAATTACTAGTGCGTGACAAATTGTCACGCCAATCACTTTTGCCGTACCTATTGCTCAATCATACCTACCTCTTCCTCAGTTAGAACTTTCACTCTTTTAACGCCTCTTCTTAATAGATTCTCTACAAATTGCATATAACAAGTGTTGCATAGAATAACTCCTCCCCCCCCACATGTGCTTCACTAAACCTTTGTTCAGAGCATCTCCATTTCTCTCCACTCAACGAACGGAATTTAGCTGGGTCTTTAGAATCGCATTCTGTGCGACGTTTATCCTTAGGCATTTTCGTTAAGTAATAGCTACGGCGAGGGTGAGAGATCCAACGGAATAATAGAAGTTTTCAGTGCAAGTTCCCGATTATTGAATTGTGTACCTGTGTCCTTATATGGTGATGGTCTCCGTATGAGGAATATACATCTTCGAAACAGTGTTTATCTCGATGCGTTTGACATTGTGATTGACATTTTATTTTGCAATAAAGCTTTCGTAACGCAAAGAATACAGTTTTATAATTCTGTTGCTACTACTACATGCTTTGTAATACTAAAATCTACGAATTTAAAGAACCTTAACACTAAATGAATTGATAATTGAATTATTTATTCTTACTTGCCTTCTTTCTTGCTTTTTTTCCTTTTGAAATCACAAGATTAGCCTCAGCTTCCGAAAGCTTCTTCATAAGCTCCTCCTCCATGTGGTTTTTAAATTCTTCATTTAGTTGACGTTCAGATTCATTTACAGGTACACGCTCAAAAGTGTCTTCGATGATGTAACACATCCTATCCGGATGGATGAGATAGTTCGTAATTCCTTCTTCCAAGTTGGATCCCATGTATATTATACTACACTCCATTTTATTCCACATAAACAAACATCCATTTTCATCCAAGAACCACATTACAAATTCAGAACTGTCCAAATATAAAGGAAAAATTGTATGGATTCCGAAGAGTTTAGCAAAAGTTTCTCTAAGATCGACATTCAGACGCCACATATCCTTTTCTGTAAAGTCGTGAAGTTCATCCTTCAATTGATCAAAAAATTGACATGGCACATCCTGCAATTTCGGCAAGGGTACTTTGTTTGTCCTCCTTCGACTTCTATCGTAAGAGTCCGAACTGGTGTTTTGGGGTTCACTTGATTTAGATGTGTCCACGTGTTCATCTCTGAACAATTGCCATGATCCCAACGCTCTTCCCTTGGCATCACTTTCTGGTTCTGATTTCGAGGGAGAATATGTAGAGGAAAATTGGTCAGATCGCACATTTGTCGAGATATGATCATATGTTTTCTGGGTTGGCGTTTTCCCGCGATCGATGCTCCGAACGACACCGCGATTATTTTTTTGTGAGTGGTTTTCCAAGAAACGTTCATTGTTGCCGGGACCATGTAACATTGATCTGTAGGTTGTAAGATGTTTATCCAATTTATGATCTGAGTCA